GATGCCGAAACGTCAGCTTTCAATGTTAATACTCGCCTGCTAATGACAAATTAACAACAAAAACTAATATGGATCCCAGATACAATTTACTTTCTTTCTTTTTTGATGCGTATGTACTGTGTATGCTTGAATCCATTCAGCTTGATTGCCTTAATTTGCCCTTTGTAGATGTGATAATTCAGCATATATCTGTTCAAAGACTACTCTGGTACCCAGGGTCCTCCAGTCACCTCTTAAGCATGCATGGAAGACAGATCAGCATTCACGTAGATAAGCTGAAATGTTTCTCAGATTATTTACTGAGGCAACTTACACGTGTACTAATGAAACTAAATCCAACTCCTATCCACACAGTGTATGCTCAACTAAGCTCATGGCTTGAGTGAGTCGCACCTTATAAATAATATGTTTGTTACAAGACCATTTCTGACCCACATGTTTTATACAACAATTTATGGTTTGGCTGAGTCCAGCTAGCTTAGTTATGCTCATGTATAAATGGCCCTAATGCCTCACCTGACGCTGGACTCCTAGGAATTTTGAATGCACTAGTCCGGTCTCCATCAAGCAACAAGTATCTAAAATAAAAATATGACAATTGCTTCTAAATGTGTTGTCCAATAGCCTGTGTCATTGAAACATTAATAGTATGGTGTTTTCTTTTCACTTCTTTACAATGAGTTAAATAGAATAAAATCTGTTATCCCAGAATTCATTATTAATAACCAGACTGGTTTCCCGAAAGGAAGATTTATTGGAGAAAATACTGGATTGACACACAACAATATTGATTGCACTTCAGAAAAAATTCAGGCATATTGCTTTTTAAAGATTTTGAGAAAGCCTATGACTCACTTGAATGGCCATTTGTTGGTGTTGATGGCCATTATTGGAACTGAGTTTGATTCTGAGTTCCATTGTTTGTTTTGGTTTCTTTTAAATCGTTTTCTTTTATTGTTTCACTCTTTTTGATGAAATACATGTACTTATAATTTCAGGTTTGGAATTGATAATAACACAGTTTTTTTTTTTTGTTATGTGACCTTTCTGTTTCTTCCTCAAATCACATCCAATGGCTTAATTCCTAAAACTAGCCTCAATTTTTCTGAAGATCTTTCACAGCTAAATATATTTGTGGTCCAAACACCAATGAAAGGCTGTGAGAACTCAATCTAGTGGCACTGAGTTGCATAAAGCAGACTAGCTTTCATCTTCAAGTGACAAGAAAACATGTTAAGCAAACTTTCCCAGTTTCAACTAGTTAGGCAACGAGAAGTTTACTAGGTAGAAAGGCTCAAATCAGAATGAGTAAATTAATTACAGCAGTAGAGTCATGTAGTGTCAATAAAGATCCCCCTTTGTTCTTGTACTTCATGTAGTGTGTACAGCAAGTCATTTGAGATTTTAATAAAACAAACAAAGTAAAAATAAGGAACAATTCACTTGGTTTTTCTTGTTTCTTTTAAAGACTGCTGTGTAGCCAGATATCAATAAAATAACTCATATTTTAATGAGAATAACCTGTAAGCCACATATGTACCCAATGTGCACCAATGTTTTTTAATGTTTGAGAATTGAGAATTAGGGTCAATGCAATATTATTTCCTTCTTTTTGTCCTGTACATTTTCTTTTTTTGTTGTTTAACAAAATTTTGGTCATTAAAATTGCATGTAAGGTTAGTATAACTGTAAATAATGTTAAATATTGTACAAAATGTGTGATATAGTAAATATAGAAAAATTTGTTTAATTAGTATTGTACAGTACCGGTCAAATGTAAGTTGACAGTCTCGACTCGAAACTCGATCCTCAATCCTTGATACTTTCAAGAATCAAGAGGCGAGTTTCAAGGCTCGAGTTTTGAGTTTTGAGTATCGAGTTTCAAGTTTTGAGACGCTCAAAGAATTTTTTGAGAAAGCGATTTATATCTTGAATTCGTAACAATAGAAATAAACAATACCGC